ATATTTTAGCATTCGAATTTCACAAAAAGTGAGCTTAAGTCATCTGAATCCCAACTATGTGTACTTCATGCTGTGTCTGGAAACAAGTACAGAATTTGCCTTTTCCCAATAATCCAAGCTTCCATTCAAAAACAAGAGCCTGCCCTCAGGCTTCTCACAGTGAGAGGGGCAGTTTGCACAATCCAATTAGTGCATTGCGAATGGGGCTGGGTTTGGCCTGTGGCAGAATCACTGTAATTTTTCTCTTAACCTTCCAGTACAATTTTTTTTTGGGGGGGGTGTGTGTTAATGTCATAGTATGAATTTCTAACACCTGGGGAAGTGAATAGCCATTTAGGCAGTTTTGTATAGAGTTTTAAGGCTGGGTCATGCCAGTCTGTTGATTCTAAACAACATGGTTTGGGATTGAGGCTTGATCTCTATGTTAGCATGTAGTACACAACAGTGCTTTGTGCGCAGCACAGTCCCGATGTGTAGTGTGGCTCATTGCCATAGGCAAATCTAGAAAGTGGCCCAATAAGCCCTGAGCCCTGGACTCTTCATAGGAGGAGGAGGAACTTGCCTGGAACCTCAGGGGAGAATATGAACCCCTGGAGCAAGACCCAGTGGCAGAGCTTCATGCCCCGGCACCGGGGGGTGGAGAGCAGGCAGGGGCAGGGTTGGCGGGTATCCTGGGGGCATGGCACACCGCCAGGGGGCGTGGCACCCAGCACGGGTGGGGGGGAAGCCGTGATGGCTCCCTACTGGGATCACGCTGCCGAGGGCAGTGCGCCCCCCTGCACTCCTCCTCTTCCTTCCCACTGGCAAGACCACCTTCTGAGTTAAGCACCCCTTTCCCTTAGCCACCTTGGTATGTGCTTCCAGTTAAGATAAGTCAGCCGTTGGAAGGATAGACTTGCTGGGCTCTTACAAAACCTAGTACCAGCCTACCACCTGTCATGGGTGCTTTAGTTGAGATTCTGGCACTGCCACCATAGGGTTGGACTAGATAACCCTCGGCGTCCCTTCCAACCCTATAATTCTATGATCCTATTATTATTCTTATAGGGCATATCCACACCGATTCTGCACATCACACTGTGGTTTCTCTTCAGATTGCAGAAATCATTCACCTTTTACCAATTCTGCACATCACATGATAAAGAAAGCACTGGGTGATGAGAGAGCTGGTGCTTGGTTTTGTTTAAAATAATAACTCTCCATTGTGCTTGGCCACATCATAAGAACTCTGCATGCACTCATTAATGTCGAACACTGAGTGCTAATACGAACGTTACATTTTAAGCACACAGTGGGATTAATTACAATGAAATGGCAACTTGCTGCAAAGCTTAGTCTGTCTTTGCTGAAAAGGTTGTGGTGCAATCTCCACATCTTTATGTTTTTGTGCCCTTGGCACCCACAGCAACATCCTCTGGACTATACAGTTCAGACGGGAGACAATCATGCACACGTGTTTGAGTAGCACCAGCAGCATTTGCCCATTGTTCTTGTGGTTCTTTGGATTGGGAGAATGGCAATTGCTGCTCCCAGGGTACAAGCAAGTCTGCTGCTTCGAATTGCTTGGGCCTCCCCTCCCCATTGCTCTGACCACCACAACCCAAGTTGCAGCCGCTTACTCGTGATAAGTAGCTTGCACTATATGCTTTTGTAAAACGCACATGGAAAATGGACCTTTAACCTGACAAATTCTTTTCATATTGAAGAATGCATTGGGATGAATGGCAGCTGACTCAAGTACAAGCAATATCTAGGAAAGACATTTTTTCATGTAAAAGAATTGCCAGAGTTATGATGTGCTGCTACTGATTCCCTACAATACTTGAAGAAAAACATAGTGAAATGCACTATTCATTTCAACCATCGGGAAAACATTTATGCTAGCAAGCGAATGCAGAAGCACTAATCCCAATAGCAACCTAGCAGGAAGCCAGCCCAAACTGTCAACCAATGTACTGCTGTGCAGAAGTACAAAAAGAGGTTTATTTATTTCAGACAGTAACACACGCACCTCAGACACAAAACCGCACACAGTCAGTCTAAAGTTATGTCCACTTTATGGGAATTGACTGTTGTGCATTGTGATAGTTGCAGGACTGTATTATGTGTGGATGTCAATTTGAGATCAATGGGGTTTTATGCAACCGTCTGATTGCCGCAATTATTTCCAGCGAGGACAATTGTTTGGTTAATAGTCGCTAGGGTAATTTGAAATCCCTGTAACCAGAGATTTTTTCATATATTTTCAAAAAAATGTTTATGGAGGGAATGGGGAGAATCAATCAAGCCATTTCCTTTCAGTGAGGACAATCAATGACTTGTTTGTTCAAACGATGAGACATTACTTTTACCTCTGGGCCAGAATGAAACTCAGGTAGGACAGTATAAATGCACATGGCAGGAAGGTTCCACCAGCACTGCAAGGACATTGATTGGTGCCGATGTTTAGATCCAGACAAATCACAAACCCATTTTCTTATGGGGTGCCCCATACAACTGTGCTTCAGAGAGCTTTGTGGGGATGTGCTATGTAAACCATAGTAAGCCGTGTGTGATTTTATTAATCATGCAATTCTATCAATGTTTATTTTAAATATATATATATATATGTGTGTTTAGCTGTTTTTATTTTTATATAAGCTATGTTGAGTCCCGTCAAGGGAAAAGGTGAGGTATAAACAAACAAACAAACAACAACAAAATCAAACCTAATCTGGAGTATTGGTTGAGCAAAACACTCTGATAAATTAGAATAGTCAACTTTGTTGTTAATTCCATCTTTCTGTTTTCTCCTTGCAATTAGCAGTTTGTATCACTCTACGAAGCATAGTTGCAACTCAAGGATGCATACTGAAGATCAGTTCGCAGTTTCCTCTTGGCAACCTGTCGTTCACCTGTCACCACAACTAGAATCAAACTGGTCAATGGAGTTTCCTCCTTCCACTCTCTTTAGAGGGCATGCCTAGTCTCGAAATGGGGGGTTCTAACTCACAATAGTGAGTAGAGAACCAGGGAATGGTGAGCAATTACTCTGGTTCATATATGGCTGTAAGCATAGTGTTAATATATGGCTTAGTATTATATGGCCACCTCACCTCACTCATATGTTTCAGATGCTAGTGAGGTTGTTAAGTGAGGTGGCCATATAATACTAAGCTACTTATCAGTATCATCCCTGTCTAAAGCACATTACTCATCTTCAATAATGACAAAAATATTACGTATTTTAAACACTCCAACTGGTGATCAGTAAGAAGAAATCTGAGAAACACTTTAAGATTAATGCAGCAGTTTTCTAATGTCTGAAGTCTAACCAGTTAAATAGTTCTATTGCCTATAGTTTGGTTTGAGAAAAGTACTTGCCAAGCTGGGTGCCCTCCTGATTTGGACTACAACTCCCATCAACCCCAAGCAGCACAGCTGCTGGGATTTGTAGTCCAAACCATCTGGCGGGCACAAGCTTACTCAGAAGCAAGACGCACTGAAAGACATGAGGTTTATTCCCAAGAACGTGAACACAGGTGTGGAGCCTTAACAGCCAGGCCCCCTCTATGCATACTCAGAAGCAAGCCCCACACAGTTTGATGGGGCTTAGCTCCCAAGTAAATGTCTGCACCCTCTCTTTGGAGTAAGCCCCCCTGAACAAAGTGGAACACGTGCCTGTATACATATGCAGAGATGTGGCTTCACAGCTGCAGAACTATTTCCATTAACTTGGTAATAAGCCCAACTGAACACAATGACACTTCCTTACACATGAATAGGATGAGGCTCAATGTAGATTTGGTATTTGGACATTGAAGCACCATCTGTTGCAACCATTGTAGTGGAAGTCAGGGTGCAGGCATGTTTACCCAGAGGTATGGGGGCGGGGGCCCTTGCTCCTGGGTTTATAACTTTTCAACCTATGCTGCCTCTGCAAGGAACTAGGCAAATGCTCAGCCCCTGCTCCCTAGAAGCCACAGGTGAGCCTCTCTGTCAAAGCAGCCTTTCACCAAATCCCATCATGAGCAAATGAGAGTCTAACTTCCTGGGTTGCTGCAGGCATTATGCAGAGATGAAATATTAGCAGATGCACGGTTTTAAACTCTGGGATTTGGGAAGGTGAGGTGCTTTCTTTCTGACACTCTTGCCTTCACTAAACCTGGAGAGTTGAGAAACAGTTCAGAAAGGCACAAATATTTTCTAGTCAAGTAACATTTGACTTTGGGCTATATATTTAAGCTGGAAGCAGACTGCTATTGGCAGTCAGTCAGCTTAATTACAGTGTGATGACACTTGTTCGTTTGGAAGATGATTCATCTGGCGGCTTAGGAATCCAGCCCACCCCCACTCTGCCAAATACTCAGCCTAGATCCAAAAAGAGAGATTCAATTTAGCCTGCTAATTCTTAATGGGGACCAGTCCTTCAATGGCAGGGCAATATATAGACCAATTTGGGGTGCCCTAATGATTATTTTGGGGAGCCCAGAAGTGCAAAGTTGAGCTGCTTGCTTGGGCTGGTTCTGCTTGAATCAGGACACAGCTTCACAATACAGAGAAGTCTCAGTACATCCCTCCCTGAACTTTATATTTTTAAGGGGCAAACTCCTAGAATTCAGACATCTCCACTTTGCACGGTAATTGAACATATTCCAGGTGTGTGATGCTGGCTGTGTTAGCCTCGTTCACCAGTTCATCTTAAAGAGACTGCTACATCACAGCATCTAGACTTGCTCACACTTGCTGAGGGTGAACGTGAATGAAAAGAGTTTCACTCTCTGCTATCTGCATCTTCAAGACACACAAGCTCCTGGCTGGTTCAGTACAACGCAGGTGCACGTGTTTGCCAAGAGTGGAAACGAAGCTGTCCTGTGAAGGCAAATCTTTAAAAAAACGCAACTCCCAGTGCCTGGGAGAAAATGGCACTTAAGGCTGGTGGCACAATTCCATGCCAATGAGGGCATTTTTTTATTTTTTAAAAAAGGCATTTCATCACAAAAATACAGAAGTTGCCTTACCTTTATGTGACAGGCGTAACCTTGGCTGGCTTGTGTCTGTCGTGTGGCACGGACTCCAGAAGTCTAGGAAAACACTAGACAGTGCCAAAATGAAGAGGTCTGTAGCTGCCATGCTGTCCCAGAATAATGAGGATGTTCTTTGTTTTAATGGGTTAATAAATCGATAATAGCAAAGCTCAGAAGTTCCGCTTTTCACTCCGAAGAGTACTTAGATGTTTCCCACCCCAGGTTCCCCGTGGAGCATTTCATGGGAAATCCTTCAGGAGAAGAAATTCAGGGATCTCCAGAGAAACAGTCATTTTCTTCTTCCTCTTCTGGCCAATATCATGAAAGAAAGGAAGAATGAGGAAGAAAAGAAGGCGCCCTCCCCTAAGACGGTGGTTTCTGCACAAGCAAGGCGTCAAGTGGGCTGCGTTGTTGCGTCTTGTTGGGCTCGGTGGCAGCAAACTCTGCGACTTGAGTCCAGGAAGAGGCTGCGATTTTCGCTCGCTCCGAGGCAATTCCTTCAGAGGCGAGGAGGTGCGTGCGCGCAAGCGGGTGCTGGAGGAGAGAAGCAGCCCTCTTCGGTCCTCTCCAGAACTCAGCCCCTTGCTCGGACTTGCCAAGCAACTCCTTCCGCCCCCCCCCAATCCGCAGCTCACCTCCACTCCCTCCCTGTCTCCCTCTCCCTCTTTCCTTTGGCTAATTGGAACCGAGAAGGGCTCTTGCAGTTGTCGGATCCACCCCCGAGCAGGGATGCAGCTTGCTTTCCTGCAGTCACTGGCAAAGTTCAGGGCGATTTGGCGAGGTGCCGGCGCGGGGAGCGGCTTCTTCCAAGGAGCATCTCCGGCCACGTGCAGATGTGCGCCCCCGGTCCTCCCGGGAACAGGGGCTGAATGGCCAGGGACGAGGTCCACGCTTCTCTCTTCCCCGCCCCACCACCCTTTGGGGAAATGCGGCAGGGAGCATGTTCCTAAAGCCCGGTTTGAGCCACCGCGCGCCGAAAGCAAGCGATGCTGCCGGATTCTCGGTTCGAGTTCTGTATCTGGAGAGCCAGACGCACAGACAGATAATTAGACGGGCTGTCAAGCCATTAAATAATTGTCCCCCGATGCGCACTAATCAATTAAATGGGAATGAATTTGCATTTTGCATATTACAAAGATATCCGCAGAGGAATCTTTCTTTTCTAACACATTAAAGGGAAATAGGAAGGTAACCATTTAATGCACTCAAAGATCGTAACATCTTTCTGCTTTCAGCCCATATTGCAGTAACGTAGGAGAGCCTAAATACTCTTAAAGAAACACATTTAACTTATAGTCCCGTTGCATAAAAGAAACTGCAGGATACAATTCTATACATGGCTACCTGGGAGTAAGTCCAGTTGTACTCAATGGGGCTTACTTTTGAATAGAAATGCTGCCTAAAGCAATTAATGGTATGGATAAATTTATTTGTGTGTGTGTGTCAAAGAGAGGGAGGAGGGGACACACACAAAGGGATCAAATTTACTTGGAAGTTAAGTCCCATTCATTTAAACGGGATTTCCTTCCAAGGTTATTTCCAGACTCCAATGCAAAGAAAACATTTCTTTTGCAGAATTGAAATACTGTACAGTGGTACCTCAGGTTACAGACACTTCAGGTTACAGACTCCGCTAACCCAGAAATAGTACCTCGGGTTAAGAACTTTGCTTCAGGATGAGAACAGAAATCATGCAGTGGCAGCAGCAGGAGGCCCCATTAGCTAAAGTGGTACCTCAGGTTAAGAACAGTTTCAGGTTAAGAACGGACCTCCAGAACGAATTAAGTACTTAACGCGAGGTACCACTGTATATGAAACAAAAAATGACAGGAATCGATTGTCTTTCTAGGATGGTTAGCAGTTTAGTGTAGTCATTCAGTACAGGAGGGGCCTATATATTTCAAGTCCTCATCCACCCACTGCCCAAAGGACATGTTTGCCCTCAAGTCCTGCTTGCAGGCTACCCATGAACATCCACCATGAGAATGGGATGCTGCACTAGACGGGCTCTTCGCCAGATCCAACTGGGCTCTTCTTAAAAGCACAGTAAACCTGCAGCTTACATGGCGGGTACGTTTCAGGGATCATGCCTAAAACCAAAATCTCGTAAAACCAAAATCTTGAGTTCAATGGGGGTGGGATTGCCAAAGTCATATTCCCAGAACCCTGTTCCCTTTCTGATTCCTCCCCCCCCCCACACACACACATGTGAAGCTGAATGTGCACAAGTAATTGTGTGAGAGTTGCAGGCTTACCGTATAGTGCCCATGATCAGCACAAAGAAGCATGATACAGAAACAATCAAAATGTGGCAGGAGTGGCCCCTTTCCCATTCCCCTTTCCCTACAGTGGCAGGCGAGTGATTTTTAGAATAAATGTGTGCAAGAGTGAGGGCAGGGAAGTGTCTGTCTTGGGCCCGGTCTTATTCAACATCTTTATCAACGACTTGGATGATGGACTCAAGGGCATCCTGATCAAATTTGCAGATGACACCAAACTGGGAGGGGTGGCTAACACCCCAGAGGACAGGATCACACTTCAAAACGACCTTGACAGATTAGAGAACTGGGCCAAAACAAACAAGATGAACTTTAACAGGGAGAAATGTAAAGTATTGCACTTGGGCAAAAAAAATGAGAGGCACAAATACAAGATGGGTGACACCTGGCTTGAGAGCAGTACATGTGAAAAGGATCTAGGAGTCTTGGTTGACCACAAACTTGACATGAGCCAACAGTGTGACGCAGCAGCTAAAAAGCCAATGCAATTCTGGGCTGCATCAATAGGAGTATAGCATCTAGATCAAGGGAAGTAATAGTGCCACTGTATTCTGCTCTGGTCAGACCTCACCTGGAGTACTGTGTCCAGTTCTGGGCACCACTATGATTCTGTGGACCTCCAACTCCCATCAGTCCCAGCCAAAATAGTCAATGGGGAGGCGTAGTGCAGCAGAATCTGGAGGGACACAGGTCTCCCACCCCTGGCTGAGTGGATCTGAACCTTAGGCATGCTGTTGCCTTCCTCCCTCAGGCCTTGTTACTATAGGCCCTTTACTCCCACCAGGCTGAGAAAGAAACTCCTGTCCTTCAGTGTTCAGCCAAGTAAAGTGGGGAAGAATTCTGCTCCTTTCACCCACTCCATCATCATCATCATCATCATCATCATCATCATTATTATTATTATTATTATTATTATTATTATTATTATTATTATTATCTATCCCATCTTTCTTCTGTCATGCAACTCAAGGCGTAGTTCCTAACCCTAACCCTAACCCTAACCCAGGGGTCTGCAACCTTTAAGACAAAAAGAGCCACTTGGACCCGTTTCTGAAGAAAAAAAAACTGGGAGCCGCAAAACTTGTCATTATAAAAATAACTTTTTTGTCACTTTTTTTATTATTTCTTTGTTTGACCCCTCAGAATTACTCCTCCTCATAGAAATAAACGTTAAATTAACAAGTTACCTTTTTTTGCGTGTGTGTTCTTCACTCCCCTTCAAAACAGTGACCAGCGTACATGCCCCCTTTCAATGCAGTGACCAGCGTACATGCCCCTTACAATCTAGCGGGCGGGAAGGTGACGTCGGGACGGTGCGTGACTAACACACGCACCGCTCCCATGCGACGTCACAGCCAGTACAGCGCCCGCCACAGTGGGGAGTGTCGGGGCACACAATGCGCCTCCTCCCCTCGCTAGTATCCGCCCCAAAGCCGCGGCAAAGGTGCAAAAGAGCCACATGTGGCTCCGGAGCCGCGGGTTGCAGACCCCTGCCCTAACCCTAACCCTAATACTAACCCTAACCCATCCAAGCCCTAATCAGACCCAGACCTGCACAGCTTCAACAAGGTGGCGACCTCACGTGCTTTAGCTGAGATTCCTGCATTGCAGAGGTTGGGCTAGACGACCCTTGGAGTCACTTCGAACTCTACAGCTCTACAATTCTACGATTCAAATTGTCTATTGCTGCCTGGATAGCTCAGTTGGTTAGAGCGTGGTGCTGATAACGCCAAGGTTGCAAGTTCAAACCCCGTATGGGACACTTGCCTATTTCTGTATTGCAGGGAGTTGGATTAGATGATGCTTAGGAGTTGGATTAGATGATTCCAACTCTATGACTCTATATCCTGGCACCTCTTATGATATAACAGGACAGACACCTGAATATGGGCAGCTCCCCATTTATGCCTGTTTAATAGCCCGAACTCAGAGGTGACCCCAAAAAAGGCACAAAAGGGGTGGAATACAGTGGTACCTCGGGTTACAGATGCTTCAGGTTACATACGCTTCAGGTTACAGACTCCGCTAACCCAGAAATAGTACCTCGGATTAAGAACTCTGCTTCAGGATGAGAACAGAAATTGCATGGCGGCAGCGCGGCAGCAGCAGGAGGTCCCATTAGCTAAAGTGGTACCTCAGGTTAAGAACAGTTGCAGCTTAAGAATGGACCTCCAGAACGAATTACGTTCTTAACCCGAGGTACCACTGTAGGGCGTTAGCAGCCATATCCAATGGTGTTTCAAATATATGAAACTTCGTGTGTGTGTGTGTGTGTGTGTGTGTGTGTGGTGCCTTGGGATGTAACCCTCACATAAATGTAATAAGAAAACAGCTGTTGCACTTAGCTAGCTAGGAGACACTGAACAGGCACAAGCCCAAGGCTGTGAATGAGACCTTGCCTACTTAGCAATATCATCATCAAACCTTTTATTGGCGTCACATACAAACATCAAAAACAAATCAATACAGAATTACCACTTTCCCAGTGGTACAAAACATTTACGAAAAGAAAAGAGGCAGAGCAGTGTATCGTCACATCTCTAGGTCTCCAGGGAGATCAGACGTCTGCAGTGTATTTCGACAACAAAAAACCAAATAGAGATATTTAGCCACTAACTTGGTGAGCGCCTGATCATTCCCCAGTACAGTGGTACCTCAGGTTAAGTACTTAATTCGTTCCAGAGGTCCGTTCTTAACCTGAAACTGTTCTTAACCTGAAACACCACTTTAGCTAATAGGGCCTCCTGCTGCTGCCGCGCCACCAGAGCCCGATTTCTGCTCTTATCCTGAAGCAAAGTTCTTAACCTGAAGCACTATTTCTGGGTTAGCGGAGTGTGTAACCTGAAGTGTATGTAACCTGAAGCGTATGTAACCCAAGGTACCACTGTAATAGAAAATGTATGACCTCCAACTCTGGTTTCCATTTGGGGATACAGAGTTGATCTAGAAATTGCTGACGGAGATCAGCATATAGTTTACAATTAAGAACCCTGTGTGTAAGGGTTTCCACCAGATGGTCTTCACATGGGCAAGTTCTTTCTCCTTCCACCCTGCCTGAGAACCTTCCCCAAAGGAGGTTTAGCATTGTGGGTAGAAATGCCATATTTTGTCCTCCCCATGACACTTTCCCCAAGTCCAGGATTTCACTTTCATTTATACTTGGAAGAAATACAGGGTTACATTCAAAGATGCAATGGTGGTAGGAACTCAACTAAGCCCTGGTGGCTTCCAGTTCCACAGGGAGAGGATCTGGCTCCCCCCCTTTCCCCCTTTCAGTAATGCCCCAGATTAAAGCTGC